AATAGTTTAAATTGAGCTTGAAACTTGAAAATCTAAAAAATTGACGGTCCAAAAATGTGTTATAAAATGTACTATTTCTAAAACTTGAAATCTATTTTTTTTTTCTCATGTCCATATATCTTGATGTTAAGATGAACAAATTGAAGATATTTAAACATCAAAATAACCTTTTCTAATGAAATTGTTGAGGTGGGATCTAATTTGATTGTTCCTTTTCTAATGAAATTGTTGAGGTGGGATCTAATTTGATTGTTTAGAGCCTCAGCTCTATATAAACTTTTTTTCAAATGTACTTGCCGTTGTCGATGAAGGCTGGCCATAGCTCCGGCCTCGATCGCTTCAAATTACTGTTTTTAAAAGATCACCTTAAAAATGTGAATGCTACAGTCAAACCTTTTTTGTTTTCCCCAAACTACCCTTACTCTGAACTCGAAAGTCCTAAGTCATTGGATTTTTTAGGGTAAAAAAACGCTGTACAAAAGTTATTAAACATTCTAAAAAGGGGAAAAGTTTATATAGAGCCGAGGCTCTAAACAATCAAATTGAAGCCTACCACAAAATTTTCACTAGAAGAGATTGTATTGATGCCCAAATATCCTCAAATTGATCACTTTGACATTAAGATGGCTGGACATGAGAAAAAAATGGCTTTCAAGTTTTGCAAATAGTGTATTTTGTAACACATTTTTGGACCGTCAATTTTCAAGATTTTCAAGTTTTCATAGATTTATCGATCAACACTAGATTTATCGATCAACACTATGTTTTAAGCTTTATACTTTATAAATAAATATGAAAATATATTTTAAGGCTATCACAAAGATTTCCAGTATTGAAACAACATTTCTTGACACTATTTGAAGGTACGCTCTAATTTGATTGTTTAGAGCCTAGGCTGTATGCAAACCGCACCCTTAAAAAATTTCTAAAACTTAATATTCTCGAAATATGAAGTTCTACGAGGGAAACATTGGCCTCTGGTAAGTGCATTCGAAAGAGAACTTCATATTCAAAATCTGAAGATCAGCAAACTTTGGATTCTCAAAATTAGAAGATATCTAATGAAAGTCTTGGCCTCTAACAAGCCTTATAACCACTGTCCAAGTGTTTCACTACGAGCATTAAACTTCGAACTTTCAGATCCAAAGCATGGGTAATATCACCATTTTTTAAAATATAAAAATTGGGTATGTCTGCAATAACATAATGAATTTTAATTTCAAAAAACTACATAAATGTCCGTTATACTTTGCGTTATTACGGATGTATCAAATAGTTTCCGTTATTACATGTATGTCCATTTTTTTACCTTTTATAATGCAATTTTTTAAAAAAGATGACTTTACCTTTTTTCGGATGTTAAACAACCGAATTGTAGGTTTTTCGGATGTTTAACATCCGAAAATAGGCCAAAAGTTTAACGTTCACATTCCCATTTCGGGTGTTGAACATCCGAATTGAAGGGTTATGTCGATACATTGTATTCCTTGTGAAAATGGTTTCGGATGTTGGACATCTGAAAATGTCATATTTTCGGATGTTCATCATCCGAAAATGACTGCAAAATTTTAGAGACTTTTTGGAAATTCAAAGTCATATTTTTCGGATGTCCAACATCTGAAGAACCCTTCAATTTGGATGTTCAACACCCGAAAATGGGAATGATGTTAAACTTTTGGCCTATTTTCGGATGTTGAACATCCGAAAAGCCCTCAAATTCGGTTATTCAACATCCAAAAAATGGTAAAGTCATATTTTTAAAAAAATTGTGTTATAAGAAATAAAAAACGGACATACATGTAATAACTAAAACTATTTGGTACATCCGTAGTAACGCAAAGTATAATGGATATGTATATAATTTTTCCTTTTAATTTTCTCAATAACAATACTTTATGAGGATGTAAACATAAATTTCCCCTAAAAACCTTTAGTCTATGGAAAAATATATAATGAGATCATTTACCTTTGATACAAGGTGGTCACAATTGATCTTGACCATCGGATGTAAAATTGGGTGGTTGCATTTATCTTATTGACTAAGCTCAGAATTCAAAAGAAATTTTCTCAAACTTGACGACACACCCAAACTATCAGATTTCATATCAAATGGTTGTAAGTAATTGTGACCTTCCTACACCTAACGTAAATAGTCTCATTGTATACCATCCCATTTACATAAACAAGTGGATGATACGAACCCACGATATCCATTTTTTTTTTAAAATCACATATTCCATATGTTATAAACTTATTGCTTTTTTAAAATATATTTTAAAATAATTTGGAACTACCATTATACCTTTAGAAATATCTACTAATACCTGTATATTTCACTTCAGGCCCAGTCCAATTATTTTGAACGTTGGCATTCACTATTCCACCATGAGCTTCAGTGAAACTTTTTTCATTAGAAAAGGGACACGGTTTCATTACGTGTGATTTGCAGCCTCAAATGATAAAAGTTGCACCACCAAGTTTTATCATAATATATTATTTTGGTGTCAAAATTTATTAAGATGGCTAGAGAATCTATTTTCACCTTTAATTATAAAATTTTAGATTTAATTAATTTTAGATTTAAAAAAAAATTTAAATCAAATCAGTCTATGAATACATGAAAATCTTGAAAATAGACAGTCCAAATAACGTATTGCAAGATATATATATTTTTTTGACTTGAAATATATATATATATATTATTCAATTAGAGTGTTTTTCTACTTCAAAACTACCTTTTGTGATGGATTTGCAAGTGCACCTTAATTCTACATTTTAAGATTGCAACCTCATATAAACATTGAACTGAAAATTTTGTGGTGGGCTAGCATACTTGAGCATCCGCCCTAGTTTGAGAGGTTTAAGACACTAAATACATCTCAAATAAATATAAGTTCATTTCCTCTTCAAATTTATGAATTTTGGAGCTTGAAAAATATTGTAGTATTGATGACTTGGAAGAATTGAGACAAATGGTGAAGAAGGCTACAAAATGGATTATTTGTTAAGTTCCTTTTTTTTTCTATTTCAAAGCTTTGGATCCTCAATCTGTGTCTAAGATTTTTGGAATTATAGCACTTCAGTAAGTGCTTTGGGGGATGTAATTGATCCCTAACCTTCATGAAAAACCAATTTAATCTAATTTAAGTTTAGAAAAATGTTTATATAATGCATCAACTTGTATGTACGTATTGCGCACCGCAAAAACCCACCAGAAGAGGTTATTTTGACATTTGAAAATTCTCCAATTGATCATCTAAACCTCAAGAAAGATGAATATTAAAAAAATAAGTATTTCAAGTGCTAAAAAATGTAGAGCTTGTAAAACATTATCTAGATTGCTCATTTTCAAGATTTTTAAGTGCTTAGATATGCTTGATCAACACCCATTTTCAAGCTTTATATGTATAGGTTAGGGTAGAAATCGATTGTCAGTCCATCACAAGAGTTTTCAACACCAATACTATATCTTGGATTTGGAAGTGGGCCTTACTTTTCTTGTTTAAAATTGATGCCTTGTGTTATTCATAACCGTTAATTTATAGATTTTTAAGCCGAAAATAAATGCAACAGTTTATTTGAAGGATGTGGTTTTGCCTAAGGTTTGCAATCTTAAACAATAAGGTGTTCCTCCAAACTTTATCAGAATAATTTTGGTGTTAGAAATTCTTAAGATAGTGTGAGTATATATTTTTATCTCTAATCATAAAATTTTAAACTCTAAAAATGGCACAAATCAAGCCATGAAAATCTTGAAAATGAACCATCCTAATACTGTACTGCAAGATGTACTATTTTTAAGATTTTAAAGCTCTTTTTTTTTCTCAAAATTTGTATATCTCGATGTCAACATAATCCATTAGATGTTTTTTCCAAAATCAAAACAACCTTTCTCGAAAGGATTTTAGATGTGCGCCTTAAAATTCTACATTTTAAGATGTCAACACCATATAAAACTTTTTCCTTATTTGTTTGCCTACAAAGTATGCCCCTCTTGCCTTCTCTACACCTAATATTTCCAAAAAAATTTCAATGCGAGTTTAGGTGAACTCGCTTGCACTGGTTCAACGATGCTCCAAAAGAATATATCTTGATTGGAAAGAACCAAGGCTTAAAGCACGACTTGTAGAACCCTTAAGGCTAACATCTCCATTAAGAAAACCTGCGTTTAAAAGCCGAGTTTGGGGTTTAATTCACCAGCAGTCGGAGCCCGAGTACCCCGATATAATTCAGGAGTCTGAGATGGACCGGCAACTGTTAACAAGAACAGAAAAGATAACTAAAACAGGGGGAGACTTGGGCAATTCTGGGGTTTTTCAGCCAGGAATCACCAACCTCATGATCCGGTCCTACTATGGTAAGTCCAGAATCAGCCAGGCGATTTTTGGAAAATCCGCAATAACCAGGTCAAAAGACAACGATTTCGAGCTTTTGTGGCCTGCTATTTGCACCATAAGTCTTGCTTAGGAACCCGGTTTATAAAGTTCACCCAAGACCCAAATCACTGTCCACTCACTTTCTACTAAGGGTGCATCTGATTCTCACACTACCAATCTGCTGAACTAAAAAGGCAACTAATTCTCACATTTACATATCAAAGGTGATGTTACAACTAATTCCACCTGAAGGATTCACAGGGCCTCTTTTCGCTAATTGCCTATGTAATTCTCCACAAATAGACTTTCACACTGGGTATGCCAAGACAATAGAGGCTATGTAATTCCTCACAATGTACGAACAGCTCATACACAATCTGTGTGACCAGTAATGCAACAATACGATACTCACAATTTTGTCAATTCGATTTTGATTTCTCATCCATCAGGTATCCTAGGATTTAGGTTAGTAAGCTGGGGTGAGGCAAACAGCATTTCTCAATAAGCAGAAAGCCAATCAAAACCTAAGAAAAAGAAAAATTGGCAAAACGAAAAAAGATTCGTTTCCTACTGATGGCTTTAGACTAAAAATTGAAAACAACGAAAAACATATGAACAGAAAGCTAGTAATTAAAGATGTATTCTTTTGCTGGATAACTTTTAGCATATTTCTCAAGAAGATATGCACGACCGCAATTCTATATGCCACTTACCATGAATAGATCATAATGCAAGGATCTTACAGAGTAACAAATGTTGGAAGGCTGGAAGCAGCAGCTAAAATCACATATAATTTAGTAATTTATATTAAACAGATAGGGCTGATGCTTCAATTAGTTTCCATCATTTGCTTGGCATGGAGGCTGCCATTAAATAGTCTACCAAGCTTCTTGCACCTTAGTCTCTGTGGATATACAGCAACTTCTTCACAGTTGTATCTGAAAGTACAAATAGCAGAGCTTCAAAATTTGATTAGGATAATTACCAATTAAACAAATCAACGTGACAAGGGCATAATACTAAATGGAAGTCATGTTTTACACACACAAAACATTGTTATTCATTTAGTGTTCGTGCCAAACATTTCTAAACAGGTATGTACACTAAGAATATGGCATGTGTCATGGAAACAAGATGGTCATAAGGTTAACAACTTCCCATGAATGAGTTGGATGGTGATGGTGTGAGACTAGTGAGCGCACTTCGAATTCATGACAACATTCCTACCATCACTGTTCAAACCAATGATGTGCTGATGATGGCACCCTATGGTCATGATATTTCATGGGTCATATGGGGCATAGTAGTTTTTCCCATTTTAAATTGATTGGGTCTCGCACTAGAGCTTGTTCAATTATAACCAAATTTTATGCTTTTTACAATTGTGTATAGATTTTAGCATTTAAAAATTCTATTATAATAGTATTTCATATCTATAATTCAGTTTCCTTGTGATTGTGCCAAGAAAGGCCATATAGTACATCATTTCACTTTCTAGACAAGAAAAGGAAATAAAAGAGAAGGAAGGTGATAAGATTCATTGAAGAAGAGGAAAGAAGCTTGAGTACCCCTCAGGTAATGAAATCAAAGGCTTTAAGCTCTCGACGAGTTTAATACATTCTTCTTCCTTATTGACAATTTTGTTGAAACAAAAGTATCGCCCAGATGCTGAAGGGTCCTCAAATGCACTTATATGGGCATCCACTAAGAAGCTTATATCCACATAGGCTAGAACTCCATGCTCGTACATTTGGGCAGCACCTGTTAAATAGAAATTCATGGTCAATGACAAATAATTAACCACATACATAAAGACATCTCTCCCTTTATTGAATACACATACTTTTTCTTCAACTCCACATCTCTCCCTTTATTGAATACACATTTTTTCTTCAACTCTATGTTTCATACATACATACATGACACGTTTTTTTAAGTGTCATATCTCTTTATCCATCCAACCATAAACAAACATTTATGTAATATCTTTAACATTTGTGTATGAACCAATTATAGAGAACCTTGAGATAACATTTATTAGTGTGCATGTATGATATATATATATATATATATATATATATATATATATATATATATATATATATAT